CGAGACGGTGAGCCTCGGCGGGGGTCCCCTCGGAGAAGGGGCAGCCCCGGCGGGCGGGGGGGCGCTGCGAGCAGTTCCAGCCCGTCACCCCGAATCGCCCCCTCTAGCCTGCGGGGAGGGCGCGCGTCGGCCGGACGCCGAGTCCCCGACGCGCTCTCCCCCTGCCGGGTTGGGCAGGGGCCCCTCGCGGGGAAGCTCCGGGCGACAGGCGGGCCCCCAGACGGGGGGCCCTTGGGTGAACCTGGCGCAGCCAGCCGCGGGGAAGAGCGATGCTCGGGCCGGGGCGGAGCGCGGGAGCCGCGTAGGCAGCAGCCACTTCGGGCGGCGTGGCCCTTCGTGGGGGGGCGAATTAAGGGGGAGGCCCCCCGCGGCAGGAGGGGGGCTGCGTCTTCCTCCCGTGCAGCCAAATCTTCCGAATTTGACCTAGAAGCAAGCCGCCCCGAGTCCAGCGGCGCTCGCCTTCAGTCGCGACGCTGGGAATGTAAACGAAGCAAGCCAGTTCAACTTAGACGGGCCATTGTTTCTCGGCCGCAAAGCTGTATCCCTGTTGCAGGGATAATGATACTGATTTGCTCTGTGGAGAAAGAATGTGGTCAGGGTACTCTAGCAATTCTTATAATTATATAGTGCAGATCTTTGGTGTTGAAGCAGAAGCAGAAGGGCTGTAGCTCAGTGCAGTAGGACATGCCTTGCATGCAAAGGGTCCCGTCTTTCATTTCTGGGCATTTCCAAGTCGGATTGCTAAAAGACTTCTGCAGAAACCTTTGTGGGGGACAGCTGAGGCTTATTGGTAATACCCAGCAAGATGGGTTAATGTCTGGTGGCAGTTTTTCCCAACCCACATATCTGCTGTGTGGATTTCAGTTCCCATATCCCTGTGCGATGGCTATGAATTCTGGGAATTGACATCTCTCACTTGAAATGCAACAGAGTCAGGAAGGGCTGGCCTGAAGGTATACTCCAGTTTCCTACATAAGATTCTAGACAGGTACCTAAGTAGCACAATCAGGGGATCTTTTATTTATTGTAACTGACTTTATTGAGAGAAGCTCTGGAGCTATTCTTCACCGTCTTATTGCCTTCATCTAGATTTTGTTGAGGAGGGTTTCCCTTTTACATCCTGTATGATTTGTAAAGTGGGTATTCAAAATGGTATTGTAACTCACAAAGTTATACATAATCTGTTATTGTATAGTATAATAAATTGTATAATGGTTTGCATTTTTTCTTCCCTCTGCCAATAATTTTGTAATAGGTGCTACATTCTAGTAAGTTCACAACCAAACTGGTTTTACACTGTGATTCAGTATTGTAGCACATACTTTTAATACATTTTCAAATAAATCCTGTGAGTTGAATGGGATTTGCTTCTGTGTAAGATGGCATATGATTGTTTCCATAGACCAGTGAACCTCATGGACTTTTGTTCTTTACCAGCAGCCTTGTGATGTAGGTCACTGATGCAACAACTGTACAGGGGGTAACTCTGATAGTTTTTTCCCCCCTGGTTAATGGGCTTCTTGTTAGGAATTACAAGGTTAGAGTGGAAGTTCTTGAAATTAATAATATCCCTTAATTGGATATGTGGTTTATATTTTTGCTTGATCCTCCATGATTGTAAGATATTTTATTGTTGGTTAAGAGCTATGTAAGGGACGTGTTTCTTCTGTCAAATTGTTTGATAACTACTAGCTGACCCATCATTATGTTCCAGTTGAGAATTTTTGGTACTTGTAAAATCTGTCTTTAAATACATACCATCAATAGATTTACAGTGAACCTGCATCAATGAATTGAGATGTCCTATACGTTGTTGAGCAATTACAGAGTAGCTTAATTGTGTAATGCTTTTAGTAATGAGGGGCTGAACTTTTACAACTTAACAGTAATAGCTATCTGTAATATACAGAGAACAGCCCATTTATTAACTGAATGGAGTTGGTTTAGGGAGTACAAAAGTGCAGCCTTAAATGTTATTCATGAGACTTTTCATTTGATGAAAGTGTCTGTATCACAGCCCCCATCAAATTCATGAAGAGATTCAGCTGTTGTTCTCCCCTCCCCTGTTCTGTTGAAAGTTCTTGTCACGAAAGGTACAAAGATTGTATGCTTAAAAATAGTTAATTTTTTGTACTTCCTCAGTCATGTGACTCTTGGTAGAAGTAACAATTGAATATTACAATTAGAAGATAAGCTAAGTACACTAAATTAGTGTAAAGCTAAGCATGCTTCACTAATTGTATCTTAGGACTGACATACTGAATTGCTAAGTAATATTCTCCTAAATATTGATAATATTGACTAAACTTGTTAATTGTTTGGAAAGGGAAAGCAACAGCTTTTGGCTGTTTCCTTTTAGTCAGTATCCTTTGATGTGATAATTCTGAACTCTGTTCACTCTATTCATAATAACTCTCTTGGCCCTGCTAGCATCCATTAATATCAAATTAAGTAGACAAGTGAAATATTTCAGGAAAGATTCAGGGTTAAACCAGTTAAGTCATATACATAGGCCTGATTTTTCAGACCCATAATGTATCTAGCATATTATAGGGATATCATTGCATATGAAGCCATTTTTGGTAGCTGGTTGTTGCTTATAGTCCTCTTTAAGTTATATGGTAGATATGATTCAAGAGAAGGGAAAATTGTGCATCAATCTGAAGACACTGAAAGGCAGGGAGAAACAAAAGTGCTTTAAAATGTTCTTAGTACTGTATTTTCATGCTTATATCAACGTGAAGATTCCTTCCTGTATCCAGGCATCTAAAGCTTAATACAAAGTGAGAAGTGAAGAACTTGAGGGAAGACAAGGATCCGTTTCTGCTCAGCTTGAACCAAAACTTCTTCCAAAAGCTGTTATGCAGGAAAGGTGGTTTCATGGTCTGATGTTGCATAGGTTGATAAGAATAAGTTCATAGTTGCCACCAAAATCTTATAGGTGCATTTTTAAAAGCTTGGCTTCATGCCTCTGCAGGTTAATCTGCCTTCTCCTGCTAAACTATATTGCTGATGCAGGTGGGACAAGTTTCATCAGAAAACTGAAAGGGAGAAGACAGCTCCCTTTTACCTGGAAGAGAGCCCTCAAAAGCCCATTTCCTGTAGGTAAGACATAGAAAAAAATGGTTTCATATTGTTTCATACCATTTATATACTTGGTAACATACCAAGAGTCGAAAACTTCAGTACTAAACAACCGTGGAAACTAAAGCTGAGAATCAACCTAGGCACAGAAATGAGGAGCAACCATCAATTGTGTTTCTGTAGGCAGTGATGATTTCATGTAGGACTTGATAACTTCACTCTTCCTGCTTTCCAGTTGGATTGAGAGAAACTAAGCAAAGAAGCTGAACAATAATTGGGCCAGCATACATCCTCTTATTTAGTTGTAGGCTCTGTTTTATTATATTATTTTATTTTAGTGTTTGCTGTAGTATAGGTTAGATCAGCGTTCCCATGAGTGGAGCTCAGCTCACCTATGACTGTTATTAGTATATGGTGGTGATACTTCTAAGCATGATCTAAGGTGGGTTTTCAAACTTTTTGAGGCTACAGAACCCTTGATTAAGAAGCAAAGCTGTAGTAATAAGAGAATTGGCAGTTATTTTTTTTTGCCCCTATTCTTTCAAAGAACCTCATCAAGTTTTCATGGAACCACAGCATTCCTTGGAACATACTTTGAAAAACCTTGATATAAGGCTATATTAAACTATTGTATAAATAGGACTGATGTATTGCACTTGATTATGCTTAGTGATATGTCTTAGGGCTATATATTTCAGAAATGATTTGGAAGAAGTGCTTTGCTCTTGCGCAAGCACAGCACCTTTCTACATTAAAGTAGCCTACTTTTTCAGGCTTCTGTGCAAATCTGAGAAAAGCGTGCTGCTTTTTATCTGTGATAAATATTTCAATACCTTATGGATCTCACCTAGTCGTTTTGAATCCTTTGGGGCCTCAAAAAGGTTAAAAATAGCTTCAAACCATTGAGCTTTATAAAGCTAGTAGATGAAGAAATTCTACTTTTATGTAGTCTAACAATGTAGCTTTGCAATTTGGTGATTTAGCAGTGCCAAACATTATAGTATCAGTGATCCTTTGTAATTTTTAGGCACAGCTTGGGTGCAAAGTCGTCTACGGTATTTTTTAAAATCATAGCTTGTCCCCTTTCCCATGACTCTGCGTTTGGATGCTACCCTGCAATGCAATTTCCAATGGCCTGACGTTTAGGCAACATACACTTGCTATATTTGTAGAATTGCTTTTTAAAGGAAAACTGTTAAATCTGAACCAGTACTGGTAGATGCTATAGTGGGCTATTGGTTTTACCAGAAGATGTTATTTTAATCTGAAAAGTAGTGCATTTAAAGACTAGCCATTCTCTGTTCCAGGAATCCACGAGTAATAGAGTTATTGGATTCAAATCTGTGGGGCTCTGAAGAAGACTGTAGTAATTTTAAATAAAAGATTTGTGAAAGAAATTAAGAAGGATCATCGAGACTAGCCCAGTTGAGAGTTAGTTTTCCAGGTTGCTAGATTATTTGTTTTACACACATCTGGGATGCCAACAGTGACACTAGTTCCTAGTTTGCCTCTACCGACTGATGGAATTAGTTGGAAGCATTACAAAGGTTGATAGTTATTTGCAGAAGCTGGTCTTTGTTTTTAACAGCAAAGTCCCATGTAAGATGAGTGGGTAGGCAGTTTGAATATTTATAAGCCTTTTTTGCTATTTGGGAGAACATTTTGCACCCAAGAAGTTATTAGGCAGGGTCTGCCTGTACTTCAGAGTAATGTTCATTTAGTAATTCTCATAAAGGAATATTCTCCTATAGCCACACTTCGTTTCACTAATTAGCTCTTCAGTTTCTTTTCTAGTAGTACTGTATAGGGGAAGGATATTGAAGAGTTGCTGCTGTTTTTGATAGCATTTGGCTGACTTCTGGTTTTTCTATAGGGGGAAGCTGGGCCGATATCCTCCTTGGCCAGGAAAGGTAAGTCTTCAACCTAGATTCTAATCTGTTCTTTATTATCTACTGGTTCTCTTGCATATACAAACTGTCTCAAATTGCTTTTTGTTTCAGTGTAAGCATTTTGGTAGGTTTCAAAATGGATTAGGTGCAGCCACTTAGTTTTTATCTTAGTTTCTGCTGAATGAGTTTTCCCCTACTTTTTTTTTTTTTTAAAGGGCTTTGTTTAATAAAGAGCTGACTTCAAGGTAACAGACAAGAAAATAAGTTCCTTGAATACACAGGGACCTTAATAAATGCGTAATATAATTTATTATAACTGTACTTCTGTTTTTAAAACATGAAGTTTACATATGAGTTATGACCCCTAGAACAGCCATAATTTTACTTTGTGATAACTTAAAACTGCTAGGAGGTGCAAACCAATGTAGTTCCAATGAATGCTGTTGGAAAGAGCGGGGACTGTTAAGTTAGCAATGAATTGTTCACTCAAGTTATTTAGAAGGGGGAACTTACAAAACATTATTTCAAGGTGTGCAGCTTTCCTGTTATGCTTCCTGATCATGTAATTGCTGGCTCTGCTGCTAAAAAGCATGCTCTGCACCCTAACTCATTATTCAGCTTTAGCTCTCCTATAGTGCTGCTATAAATCTTTCCTTCCATCTCTGGCCAGTTCCAGCATGGTGGTATTTTAAAAATTGAGATAAAAGCGATTAGTGTAACCATGGTTATGGTTCTAGCATACAGGTATTGAGTGGGAACTTGTGCTTTCCCCACTTAATCCCTTTGTATATTTTTCCATTGTTTCCTTTGTTGCTACAACATGACCTCTGAGTAATGTTTTTTCCCTTCTCTTAGAAAAATCAAAGCAATATGCAATAGCTGTGACCAATTCTTGGATTTACTGCTTGATAGGCTAGTCCATTGGATCTTTTATATTGGAATAAAGATGTTACCCTTAAAATAATAAAAATCTCTCCTAACGTTGCTTAGACAGTACTTAATCAGTATACAGGTAATCCTTGGTTACCGACTGCTTGTTCAACCACCATTCGAAGTTACAACAGCACCGAAAAAGATTTACAACCGGTCCTTGAACTTGCAGCCATTGCAGCATCCCCGCAGTCACATGATTGCAATTCGGGCTCTTGGCAACCGGCGTACATTTATGACATCCTGTGGTCACGTGATCATCATTTGCGACCTTCACAGCTGGCTTCTGACAAGCAAAGTCAATGGGGAAGCCAGCAGGAAGTCATAAGTCGCAGTCACGTGACGTTGCACTTAACAGCCGCAAGTGATTTGCTTCACAACCGCAACTGGAAGTGACGTAAGTCAGGCATGGTCATGTGATGTTCCATTTTATGATTGTATCATTTAGTGAATGAGTTGCTGATCCAATTGCAGTCGGTAAGCAAGGACTACCTGTATGGCCTCTGTTCATGTAGCATCCAGACTTCTGCGAAACTGCAGTAATTATTGTCACAGTGTGTTGTGAGAAATCCAGTCATTATCCTAGCTGGTTATACAAACTCTGACCTAATCTGAAGCCACAGTATACTTCATTTAATTAGGCCTAGCGTGTTATAGGGAATACAGCAGTTGTATTCAACTAAATCAAGTCTAGCGTCTTTTGCGAACCCAGCCATGGAATTGCCAACCATCTTTTATCTATACCAGAGTAACTGGCATAATTGCTGAGCATGACTGCCAATACATAAATCCTGTTATGTACATAAATACTAAAGGCTTGCTTTCTGTTACCGTGGGTATGGAGTTTAAGTACATCTCAATTGGAGTCCTCAAATCTGCTGCCTGAGCACTTCAAGACACAGTGTTCATTAGAAGAGTCTGAGAAAAGTGCACTTGGTTTGTAAAAATCTTAATGTGTATTTGTGCTTTCAAGTTGGTTTTTGACTCCTGGTGAATGCCTGGACAAGTCCCTACAGTTTTCTTGGCAAAGTGGTTTGCCATTGCTTTCTTTTTCGTAGGGCTGAGAGAGAGCAACTGGCTAGCTTTGTACCTAAGGTGAACTAGAACTCACATTATCTCAGTTTCTAGCCTAGTCCCTTAACCATTACACCAGAATGGCTCTCAGAAATCTTAAACGTGAACCTTAAAACAGAAGCCAGTACTCAGGCACAGAATAAACCAAAATTCAGTTGGGTAGAAGGTTACCACGAGCACATTCTGTTGCCTCTTGGATTTGTGGAAGTACTGCCGGAGCTAGGAGCCTTTATATTTACTTCATTTATCTGTGTCTTTCTCCAGAAGATTTGCATGGGAGTCTTCCCACACCACATTTCATATCATTGTCACTATGTGACACTAATACAAATATATCTTTAACTTCCACAGTTGTTAATCCCATTTCAGAATGGTGTCTGTCAGAGCACAACAATTCTAGAGGGAGAACCAGGTGAACATTGAGAAAATTCAGTGTTCTCTCTCTTAACTGTTGCTACTTTTTTTCCCCCCATCTCAGATTGTTAACCCACCTAAGGACCTGAAGAAACCACGTGGGAAGAAGTGCTTCTTTGTGAAGTTTTTTGGAACTGAAGACCAGTATGTGGCCACTTTTTTTTTTCTTTTGTCTGGAAAGGAAGAGAAAAACTGTTTTAAAACTTTGGAGCCTTTGTAGAGAAGCTCTTGCTAGCATGCTAGAATTTCACGTCTTTCTTTTAAGTAGTCTTAATTTCTCAGCCAGTAGAAAAAGATGCTTTAGAACCTGTGTTAAAGATGGGTAACTGAATCTGGCCCATGGATTGGATTCCTGCCCCATGGGCTAGGAGATAGGGCAGGGCTTGGGCTTCCTTTTGATGAAGTTAGAATTGGGGAGTGCTCTTCTGAATGAAGGAAGACAATCCATTACTTGACACGGAGGGAGGAAGTGTGTGATCATTCCCAGCCTCTCCTTTCTCGTGGAATATGACTCGTTGAAGAGAATTCAGAAAGCAATTGGGAAGAGTGATCCAATGGGGAAGGGAGGGCAGTAGGTCCTGTTAGTTAGATGGGGGCATCTTTTGCCTGTGTGGAATTGAAAATAAACACAACAGCATCATGATTTCATTGGTATGTTTGGAATAACATGCTTAGTTCAGTTTGATCCATCTTGGAAGGGACATCCTAGCGTTGGACAATCAAAGATCTAATAACCGATCAGAGAACTTTCCTTCTGGAGAGTTGGGGATTCTGAGACCTGGTATTGGGAGAATTGATGAAAGCTTAATTTAGAATGACTGTAATCTGGGAAAATATAGTTTTCTATTTTAAATTCTTCAACATAGGTTTGTTCAATAAAATTGTAAAAGTAAAAAAAAAAAAAAAAAAGGCAGGGGAAATTCTTCTGTGGATTTCCAAAACTTTGGTATGTCTGAAATGACTTTCTGGTCACTTTAAAGTCAGTAAAATAGAAGAAAATTGATACAGTATAGTAGATGCCTTGTTTGTCTGTGGTTCAAATTTTGATTTTTACAAACTGCACTGGGGTGGCTTTTTGGCGAACTATCTTTCAGCCTTAGTTGCTCATTCCCAGTATGTGGAATAGTATTGCTCCATCATGTAAAGTTACTGTAAGGATTAGGGCTTGGATTACAGTATGATATGTATGTACAGCCTTTGGAATATTACAGTGTTAAATATTTCTAGTGAGCCAGATGAGTCAATCATCTGGTGCTATAAGGTAGTTTCATTTGTTCATAGTTTGGTTAAGCTGTTGAAAGGCATAACTCTTTTTAAATTGAAAGTTCAGCTTTCCTTTGCTTTGAAATGTGGGCTGTGTCTGAAATGCTGTTTAGTACCAGCACAGATGAGTGAACAGATTGCAGCTGGAAAGGTCAGTCTGTCTAAATAAATTGTGTGTTGCTTAGAATTCAAACTTGGAAAAATCCTATTACTTGCTGTAGGAGGTCAACTGAAATGTGGAGTTCTGAAAAATTAATGAATTGTGTCCTGATATAAGAAGGGTTCTATGTGCCTTGCTGTTTTAGTGGGCATAAAATATGGTAAATGGGATTTAAAATTCCAAAAAGAAAAAACGGATTTCTAGCCTCTATGCCACATATGTGATGTCTGCCGAAATTTCAGAAGCCAGGAAGGTCTCTATTCAAGTGAAGCAACATTTGCAGTAGTTGCTAAGGCCCTTAGTTCCATCTTCCCTGGCTATGCTTCCTTCAGAAGCCGATATCCGACTCCCTTCTCTTCTATTATGAAGCTGGAATAGCTGTGTTACCCAACTGTGATGAAAGTCCTCCTCTTTTCTGGAGCTCCACAACTGCATATGCACTAGAAAGCAGGGGAATAGCTGTCACGGTCAAAATAACTGCTGCTCCCTGTTTTGTACGTTTTTGTCTTTTAAATGGAAAACTGATGTTTTGAAATGATACAGAAGTGAAATCTGGGATACTTTTGGCATAGAATAGAAGTCTGCCTGTGAGGGGAAAAAAGCAGTCTTCCTCTGTGTACATTATTGGAAAACTAGCATGTAGAAATGCTGGTCTGGTAGCCCCATTTAGCAGATTAACATGACTGGATGAAACTTGCTTCTCCTGAAAGGCAGGAGGGTTGGCAGCATCTGACAACTTGAGAAAGATACACAGTAGACCTCTTCCTTCCCCAAGGAAATCGGACCTCTTTAATTCCTACCAGTCTCCAGTTCAGCATTGGTAATGGAGCCAGCACACGCACTTCAAGTCTTTTTCATGTATCTGCTAGATACCTGCCAAGATAGTTGCCCTTAGCCTTCCTCTCTCTTGTGTGCATGGCACATTGTGGAAACAAACTGGTATCATAAGAGGGTGCCAAACGGCCTAGTGATAGTTTTTGGTTGGAAATTAAGCAGAGGAACGGTTGGGGTGAAGGTAGTCCTTATAACGGCTTATAGCTTAGTTTTAATTGATAAATGCTATAAATTGCCTGGGGGCTACATTTCATCTGGGCAGCTGTTCCGGTTTCCTGAAATGCCCCCTCAACCCAGTGCTACATAATAATGTGATATCATTCCTAGGGGAAACAAAATCACATCTGCTTATCTACCTAGAGTAGTTTTGATACTCCCACCCACTCACCCACTATATTTTGGACCACCTAAAATTACTGAAATGGTCCTTCTATTTTATTTTTTTTTTGCTTGTGAATACTGTAGGGTTTGAAAAGAGGTATGTCAGCTTAGGCTTAATTTATCCTTGTGCTAAATAATCCTATCCTTGTTAATGGTTTTTCAGTGCAATCATGAGGGTCTCTGTTCCCTGCACGTGGCCCCAAATAAAAGTAAATGAACGTTATGGGTTGTGTTGTTACAGCGATACAACCATCGCTGCATGTTCTGAATCAGTGTTGGAGCTTCAGCTAGTATAACATGAATTGTTACCTAGATGTATAAACTGACAGTTAAGATGGAAAAGTTTTCAGGGAGCATTGAGTGATCATTAAGTCATAGAAGACATTTTTGTTTTTAACTTCTCTGTTAATGAATTTCTGATATATACACTTCTGTATTAGTATAAACTGTTCCTTCAATTTCACTACCAAAGTAATAACACTGACTGTGCAAAGGCTATAGAAAGTACTGGATGTTATCAAAGAGAGTAAGGCAGCTTTCTTTTTGTAATGCTCTGATCAGTTCTTACTTATATCTTGATCAAGCAATCAAACTGCACTGTCTGTCTGAAAAAAACTGGGAAGAGTGTGGTGATATTTGAGGCCTGTATATTAGAAGAATCTTGAAGCTTCTTGGGTAAAGTGGTGATTTCAAATTCTAAAGTATCCAGCCTTCTGTCAGTTGAACAGGACTGTGGTATTATGTTAGTGAGAGCCAGGATGTTCAGGCCTTCCCTAAGTATTATTTCTTACATCACTTTAGGCAAAAGCTATTATTCCCTTCCCATCTGCCTTATATCTACTATAAAGGTGACATGCCTCATAAATACAAAGATCCTTGAAGTGCTGCATAAATATTACTGTGTGAAGTGAGGCCTTTCGCTTTAACCAGTAATTTGACATTTTGTCAGTTTGAATAATAACAGTGAACAGTGAGTTCTGAGCATCTCATGAAAAATGCAAACAGTTGAATTTTTTGTAACTAGATTTTGCATTTCCAAGAAAGTGTGGGCCAATTATTATTTGCCTGTTTGTTTTTCTCAATAAGCCTTGGGAGAGTTCTTAACACAATTCCAAAAACAATCCCCCAATATATGTCTGTGTGTGTGTGTGTGTGTGTGTGTGTCTGTGTCTGTGTCTGTGTATATGAATGATATGTTTCATGTCACTGCTATGTGCAGGACTAACTTAATTCTCTCTCTTTTTAAACCTTTTTGCCCGATAGAGAGTTTTAGGAAGTGTGGAAAACTGTGACTATTTTGCAAACCTTCAATTGATGTAATACATATAGCATACAGTATAGATTATCAATGTTGAGTTATGTAATACAGCACAATCTCTGCTGTCATTTTCAAGTAACGCAGTTATTTCTTATTTTCAAATATAATTTAAGACTGAGATATTAGATGAAAATGGAGGTGTTCCTTCAGCATACAGTTATGAAATGTTCAACCTAGATGAGTGTCACCTCTAATAGGTGCGTTCACCATACTTCCCACCTATGTTCTTTTCAAGACATTCATGCAGGATAATTCAGTCTTCCACCTTCTGCCATATATACCTAGCATTTCATAGTTACTGCATGTATACCGTCCTCATTTGCTTATTTTTCTGTGTGTGTGGGGGGGTTGTTTCTTGGTTATGTATTTTAAAATTGTTGGTTCTTCAGAATACTATTGAGCATATTAATACTTTGATTTTATTGTTTGATGAACCCATTTGGGCTCTCTTCCTTTTGGCATCCAACACCAAAGTCCATTGTTAGGGGACCCAGAGACATTGAGTTATGGATGATGCGAGTCCAACACATACAATAGTCCTTAGTTTGACGATATTCAGTCCTGCGTGAATCTTGATCTTACTGCTTCACTAATGTTTTTTTCAAGGTACCATTTAACTGAAGTATCTGGGGCAGCTCCACCCATTGCTTAAATTGGTCACCACAAAACAAGCCGGAACAGGAAGGAAAGCAGAGCCTTAGTTGAAAATGAACAGTGATTATCCATAAGTCTGCTCCTGAAAGGGAAGCAGAAAAATTGGTTTACAGTTTAGAAAGTATTAAGGATAAAACCATGTTGATTTTTTTTTTTTAACAATGATCAGATTTTTATTTGCCCCTGGATAGAAGATTCCTGAGGATGAGGCTTATTGCATTATTAGCATAGCATAGTCACATTGAGATAATGGGGTGCCATATGTTTGGGTCAGCTTTAGCAGTATCTTGAGGCTTCTCAACACCCTTGTGGATAAAGGAGTAGTGGTTTTGGCAGGGGGCAGAAACATTTTGATTTTTTTTCCCACTGACTGCTGGATTGAGAGAGATCCCATTGTAACTTAAAGTGATACTTTTGTTCTTTTGACTATGTGCAATGTAATTCTGATTTGTTTTCATTAGTGCTTGGATTAAAGTAGAGCAGCTGAAGCCTTACCATGCCCACAAAGAAGAAATGATCAAAATTAACAAAGGCAAGAGGTTCCAACAAGCTGTGGATGCTGTGGAAGAATTTCTCAAGAAAGGCAAAGGCAAGGACCAGGTAGGTGGTCCCTCACTGAAGTTTGCCTACTTATCCTGTTCTTTGGAGTGATGGATAGGATAAGCTGTTGTACTATCATGTTGGTTCATTCTCAGAGAGGGGTTGCATGCTTTGTCTCTAGAATTATGGCTGTGGAACACCAATTAGGATCACAGTTGCTGCCTTCAAAAGGTTGTTAATTTTTACAGTTGACCGTCCTGCCTTGGCTTGACTTGGATGAAAGGAGACCAAAGGGTCAGTTGATCCTAGAGCGCTAGGTTATATCTGCTGTGCACTCTGGAATTGGAACATCGTTCTTCTTCGAAAATAGCTCCTTGTGTAGAGCATGTACTTTGAGCTTCTCCTTGTTCTCTTGTTCAGTAGCTTAAACCTGTTAACGTTTTAATTTGGGGTATTTGGCGTGCTTCAAACCTCTGACAAGACGTCTCTCGGGTTTGGTGAGTGTGGGGAAATGAAATCGCTGCCAGCTCACGCCCCTTCTTTTCCTCATCCTTCTGTTCTGTAATCTCTCAGGCGTCTCATAACTCCACTGAAGAGAAGAACCGGCGGAATTCCAGTGAAGAGAGGGGGAAGCAGTCAGTGGGAGAGGAGAAACACAAAGCTGGGTTGTCAGAAGGGAAACCGAAAAAGCGAGCATCTTCTGTTTCCTCTGAGCGAGGATCGAAATCCCCTCTGAAGAGAATGTACAAGCAAAGCCCCCGGAAGCGAGGGCGCCCTCCCAAAGACGAGAAGGTTTGTGTTTTGCTGCGCATTCCTTCCCGTGCTCTGTGAGCTTGTCCAGATGGAATGTAACCCTAACAGCCATCCAGATGACTTCATTGTTGTGACCATTTGGAAAATTGCATGTCTTAACCGTTTGGAAATCTACCGTCTAATTCCATTCAGAGTCATAATTATTTGTATTAGCTGGCCCTTGTGCATTACTAAACCTGAAATTTTCTTTGACTTGTTAAAGTCAACAAGTTACATCGTGCTTCCATCTTGCTGCATACCAGTGGAGGAAATGGCAACCACAGTTTTACCTTCGGTAGCTCTAAAGCATCTTCTGTTAACATCTCCATCTCATTTGTATGTCTGATCCATCTCCAGCTGCATAAGGACAAGTTGCTTAAATTGTAGTATGATAAGGTGAAGAATTACTCCAAAAGTGGATGATTCCACCAGAAGACATCAGTTCCTCATATTTTCTTGCCAGTTTTGGAGCTTTCTCCTCTCCCATGTTGTGGTCTGACTCATCCTTGGACATTTAGAGTTCACTTGTAGAACATTGCCTCTTCTCTCCTCTTCAAGATTTGGAATCTCCATACTCTAGCTGGTGACCTTCCCATTGCAGTTGTAAACAACAGAGTGGATAATGCTAGAATACACTTTCTTTACTGGGTGCTGAACCTGAAGGTCGTTATGAAAATACGTTAAGATTACAGAACAACCAAGATTTACTAAAATTTCATACCACTTATTCACAATCAAATTTTATACCACTACTGTCTTTCATTGCCTTTTTCAATTCACAGTTGTGAATCTGCTTCTTCTCATTTGGGGTTTAAACTCTGACAGCTTTCAGAGGCAATCTAATATCTTGCTGGTGACGGACCAGATTCCTATCTTAAGTTACTTACCAGGGTTTTGAGTTCTGGACCTTTCTTCCTCGGGACTTGCACTTTGGTTATGCTCAGACTTTTTTCTTTTAACCCCACTATTTGCATATTATCATGGGGTTTATCAGTCATTTTCTTTGCTTTGGAATTGTGACTGTAGCTTTTAAACTTTAATCTGGAAGAACAGAAACCTGCTAAAGATTGACTAACTAGTGGTTAGGGTGCTTTGTTTTGTTTTTGTTTTTTTACAAATGTATGATAACCAACTTCCCTTCAAGAATGGAGATGATCTTGAGGGCTTATGCTTGGGTTTTCTTTCTAAGGCGAAGAGGGTGGCAAAGAAATTGTCTGGTAAACATGGGCCAACTTGAAAGTCTTTAGCACTCTGGGAAATTGTTAAAATGGCGTCTTCTCCCTTTCTCTGGGCCTAACAGCCTTTTCTCTTCGGCTCAGCTTGTGATCTCTTTTATGAGGCATTCACTCATGCGTATCCTAGATTCCATTAATGTCCTGTGATGGTTTAGTAATCTGCTTTCTTGATGATTCTCCTCATATTCAGCTGTCATTCCTGCATAACTTCCTGCTTTGAGACTTTGTGGAAGGATATTTTTCAAACTTCATTGTATGAAAGAGAACCCTGACAGGAATCCTGATTGTAGGGAATAAAAGCCTGGAATGTGTAAAAAAGTTAGAGGTGGTGGTGATGATGGTGGCTGTTAACTGGTTCTGGTTCCTGAGTTGTCTTGGTAACAAAAGTTGCCTTGGTTATTGTTGGATCTCTAGAGTTGCATAATATTGGAAGTGGGTTTTGAAAGGTGGTGGAAAATTTGTCGTTGAGAGATCTGTAATGGAGAAGAAAGGTCTTACAACACAAAATAGCTTTTTACTTGTAATATAGTGGAACTAGAGGTTTATAAGAGCAACAGAGGCAAAACGTCTGGATTTGTTAGATTGCTGTTGTTGCTTAATTCTTAGTCTAACTGATAGATAGGAATGCTCTGTGTTTAGTCCTCCTAAAATTTGAAGTAGCCTTCCCCGGTCTATGCTTCCAGATGTATGGGCTTCAACTCCCAGAATTCTCAGCATTAACTGGGGCGGCTGGGGAATTTTGAGGGTTGAAAGCCACAAATCTGGAGAACAGACAGGTTGGGGAAATCTGCCAGAGAGTAAAAGGCAGCTCCCACTAGATTTTGAAAAGAAATTTATTTTATTGAAAAATATTTTGCTTTTCAATCCATAAAATCATTCTGTCTCCAAGGCATAGCATGTTTTTCAAGTGAAGCAATTAGAGCATAACCAGAATAACAGGCAATTCAATTTAAGGCTGGCAAATGGAAAAGGTATTAAAATTACCAGGGGAAGATGTTCAGTAACCAAGATGCCAAAATCTTTGACCCACATTCCAGGGCTTCCAACAAGCAGAAGATTTGTGAGCTGAAAACTATAAAAATAATAATTGGGTCTTGTTTTGGGAAGAAGAGTGGTTCTGGAAATGGGGTAGAACATATTCAGGCTTGTTCTTTTGTGTGCCCAGCATATCTGTTGTATTTTTCTCCATGACAACTGGGCAGGGGAACTTGTATAAAATGGGGGAGCCCTTTCCTGCTATCTTCCTGGAAGCAACTGTCACCCATTCTTGTAAAATTGACAGATCAACAGGTAACCAAATCATTGCCATTTATTTAGGTCCTAAGGCAGATCTAAATATCTTTATTTGGGAGTAAGTAGTCAACTTGGTGGGACTTGCTTCTAAGTAAACACGGCAAGCCTTCATGGCTTATTGCTTGATTGAGCTACCTTAAGCTGTGAAAACAAACATGGCTTAGTTTTTGTTGACTCGTTTTAGTTGGATTTCTTGTTAATGCTATCCATCCCAACAGCTCAAGTTAAGTCCACCATAGAAATTAAATAAAATCAAAGTAAAATGTTTAAGAAATTAAATACATTACCAGCATTACATATGTTTTAGTGCTGTTAAAACCTGGATCTGTAATAGCTTATGCTGCACAGTTTTCCACAAATACTCTAAACAGTGCTGATTTTGGGCTGACATAAAAATACATTTAAATATTGCATTTAATAAATGACTTGGGAAAGAAGAACATTGCATGTGAATTCATGGGCAGCAACTTAAGATATGTCTCCATACCTTTCTGGTACCACGTAAGCTTACTCTCCATGCCTGCTTTTGTTTAGATGAGAGATGGAAACTGTCTGTCCTAACCAGCCCAGCTACTTTCTTGACGTTCATCTTTCTCTCTTTCTCTGAGCTTTGTTTCCAGCTTATTGCTGTATTGTATAGTTGTTGGCCAACCACTCCAGCTTTCTTCTTGATGAAAATAAAGAGGCTTGTAGTCTCATACATTTGAGTAACTGTCATGAAAGAGGGAGCTGGTCTAGATGATTTCACTTGGAAAGCAGTCTCTTTAAGGATTGTTTGGGCAGTATAAGGGGGAAAATCTGTTTTCTGAAATATCTACCACTTTCTTCCAACATACTGCTTCAAGCTTCCCAAGATGGCTTGCATGTACATAATTTGGGGCTCTGTGGATGGTACTCATCACTCGTCTTTCTTCTCCACAGGACCTGACAATTCCTGAGTCGAGCACAGTGAAGAGAATGATGACTGGCACCGTGGCTGGCTTTAAGTGGCCACAGAGTGTAAGCGAGGTGATTTAACTCTTTGCCTATTTCTCAGGAGAAGCAGCAACTTAGCTCTTGGTGTATAGTGAGGGGTAGATGACAGTAATAGTGTATGCTGCTCAAGCTAGAGTTCCCTCACAGTAGACTTGGCTCACACTTTTTGATGATCTGGGCAGGGGCTTTTGTAGAGAGTAAGGAAAATGACCTTGATGGAGATATGCGAGTTCTGCCACCAAAAGGACAAGGGGTGAAACGTATCTTAAGTCCACAACAAGCAGATAGCATTCAGAAGGAGCTCAGACAGACACCTCACTAATTCACTGAAGTATGAGAAGTGGGAGGAGGTCCAGCACAACCAGACTTGCAACATTCTGTTATTATAGCTAATTTTAATAAAGGTAGCTTTAGGCTTCCTGTGGAGTTGATTTCCTGGTCTGGTCTACCTAATGGGGCTGACAGGCTCTTTCCCCCCAATTTCTTACTTTTCCTTTTTCTCCTTGTTTGATTTACTACATTCATCGCTGCCTCTGGAGCCAGCTTCAGACACATGCTCTTTGTATTCTCCATGCAACTGATTCTTGCTCGTATCTTTCTGTGCCTATTTCTGCACTTTGCTTGCTTCTATCTTTCTGTGGTTACTGGAGGGAGAAGGGGAATGGACCAGGAGTCACTACAATCTAAAAAGAGGCTTTTTGGGGGGGGGGGTCACTTGGTAACCATAGATTGTTGTAGCCATACATTTCTCCACATTTGGAGAAATTAGGGAAAAGTGGTTGAGATTGGAGAAGAGGACTGTGACTCAAACACTGCCACACTTCAAACATCTTTAAAAACTTCATGTAGTTCTGGTTAAACCGAACCAGACATGCACCCTTCCTGGCAAACTGCCTGCAGTATCGAAGATCCTGGGAAGATTTGTCCCAGAAGCAAACATCCAGAGAAGCTGATTCTCATCCACCCCAGTCCATACGCTTCTATACATATTCAGAAACAGAATGATTCTGAGCAGATACTCAAATCTGTGCATTTGGTGATCAAAACCTAGCCCTGCAAGTCCTCTGAGATATGTATACGTGTATTAAAGGCTATTTGTGGTACCTGTACTTCGTTCAGTGTCGCTTACTGCTTCCTAAGAATGCTTGGGTAGCAGCTTAGAAGCCAACAAATTAAATTTGGTCCTCTCTTTTAAACTTTTATACAAAGAATCCATTTTCATGCCTTCTTCTGTATGGCATGGATGCTTTTCAGCCAACTCTTGCAGTTTTTGTATTAATTACATTCCATAACTTGACACTGTTACTGTAATATTATCTATCAAATGCATAATTATTTGTTTGTCCTGAAGTAAGCAAGGAGATCAGCACAGCTGATCTCAAAAAGGCACCAAAGATTCTTGTCAGAATCTGGAACTGGAACCCATTCATAGTGTGTATAGACGCTTTATGAGACTTGACATTTGATTGTGTTGGTTTCTCAGTTTGCTCCTTTGCCATTACAGCCTGTGAAAGATGGTGACCCTCATTTCCATCACTTCCTCCTTAGCCAAACTGAAAAGGTGAGCCAAAAAAATGTCTCTGAAATGTACATATTAGGCTGATACATGGCCTGGGAAGGTGGGTAGGCAATGTAATGGTGGTCCCCATTTTAGATATCCCTAGATCAGTCAAGTCAGAAAAGCCAGCATGTTGTAGAGCAGTGTGTCTCAACCTTGACAACTTTAAGATGGGTGGACTTCAACTCCCAGGATTCCCCAGCCAGCATGTTGTAGAGCAGTGTGTCTCAACCTTGACAACTTTAAGATGGGTGGACTTCAACTCCCAGGATTCCCCAGCCAGCATGTTGTAGAGCAGTGTGTCTCAACCTTGACAACTTTAAGATGGGTGGACTTCAACTCCCAGGATTCCCCAGCCAGCATGTTGTAGAGCAGTGTGTCTCAACCTTGACAACTTTAAGATGGGTGGACTTCAACTCCCAGGATTCCCCAGCCAGCATGTTGTAGAGGATATGGTGTTGGGCTAGGACGGTGATGGTGAGCCTTGGCATGTCAAACATTTGGAAAATGCCTAACTTGACTCTGCTATGTGTCCCCCCCCCGAACGAAAGAGAAGCAACATTTATTAAAAAAAATACAGCATTATATAAAGAAACATCAAATACTTACAAAAATGAAAAATGAGTTTCTTTGGTAACTCAGACAGGGAGAATAGTTGTCGGGTGTTGGTCAACACTGGCGTGTCACCCAAAACATTGTGGCGTGTCACCTTTGACACACGTGTCATAGGTTCGCCATCACCCAGGTTCTATTCCCCCTCAGCTACAGAAATTCAGTGGATGATTTGGGGCCAGGCACACACTCTTAGCCCACTCTATCACAGAGGATTGTTGTGGGGAAAATTGGTAGGGGTGTTGTGTATGCCACCTTGAGCTCTTAAATGAGAAGCAAGATATAAATCTAATTTTAAAAATACAAGCGTTTTTTAAGGAGAAGCTAAGCACATCGGTGTTCTGCAGCCACAGTCTTTGTTCCTTCCTATTTCCTGAAATCAGAATTTGCCATCCTTAGCTCTTTGCCGTCACCCTATTTCAGGATATGACTTTTACTTTTATGAGGTCTCAGAAGCTATTATTTCTCTCCTATAAAAAAAAAGTGCTTAGTGGGGAGAATTCCTTGATTGTTCATGATAATTTGATGATTTGTGTACATGGGAATCCTGAGCCTGCAGCTGAGTGAAAGGTTGGCTGTTCTTCTACAAAGTGTGCTTTATCTTTTCCCTGCAGCCAGCAGTTTGTTATCAGGCCATCACAAAGAAGCTGAAGGTGTGTGAAGAGGTACAGAAGACTTTGCTTTTGATTTCCCTTCATTCATCAGATCCTGCCCCTTTTGCTAAGGCAGAATTGATCACTGACAGGGGTGTGTTCTTCCCGTAGGAAACTGGGTCCACTTCTATCCAGGCAGCAGATAGCACAGCTATCAATGGCAGCATCACTCCTACAGACAAGAAGTAAGAGGCCTCCATTGATTGATTGATTGATTGAACTTGCAGCTTTGGGTAAATTGCTGTCATGCCAACTAGCAGAACCTCACCGAGCAGTTGCATGCATAAAATGAGAATGAATTCAACCCCCCCAAAAGATGAAATTGCTAGAGTAGGGATGAATAAAATTGCCCAGAGGCTCCCTGACAATCCAGGGAGTTTCCCTTTGGATCTAAGTGCTTTATAAAAAAAATCCTCCTTTCACGACATGCTTCGTTGCAAGAATCTGGTGGGAATGGTCTTTGAGTTACACGAGAAGATCCGCCCCTCCAGACGTCTCTGCAGGCAGCAGGACTTAACCTTGAACCACCAGAAGGAGAGGAAGAGGCGGGACTTTTGAACCATCCAGGAACGGCTCTCTGTGGCACATCTGCCTCCAGGCCCTTCTTGTGCTTCCCCCTCTCCTCCTCGAGCGACGGCAGCCTCAGTTGCACTTCCTGTCGTGCCGTCAGAAGCGATTTCCCTCCAGCTCCGTTCAGAGCAGGCTGTGGCCTGCTTGTCGCTGCAGCCATCTCAGGATGTCAGCTCTTTGGGTTTGCTGAAGGGAAACAAACTTTAACAATGAAGGCATTCAGGTAAACCCTTAACCCCCAGGAACTCTTCAGCTGTCCAGAAGCACAGTTGTGAGTTGGCCCTTGATGTCAAGCCCTTTTGACTGTGCCTTGACACAACTCTTTCATGTTGTTTTCCTTTAGTTTTGCAGTCCGCTCAAGGGTGAACAGAATGGCAGACATAGGTGAAGCATAATGCGGTTGGGAATTAGCTTTTCTCATATCAGCTTTGAGAGGTGACGGTTAGCAAGGAGGGGAAACTTGCATGCTTTTTACAAGTTTCCTAGAGTACTACTAATCTTTGTTCCATTCTGATATTCTAGAGTCTGATAGTCCTCCTGTTTTACTAGCAAATGCACACAGAACGTTCTTAACCACAAGCGCACCATGCTTGGGTAAGAAGTTCCGCTTGTTAGCAGTGGCTTTCTTAGTCAGAAGCCCAGAAGTGCTGGTAGTAGGGCTACTGAAGCTTAAAGAAGTGTCTAAATTACTTTCTGTACAGTGGTATGAAGATTTGCAAATATATAATTGGGTTTTGGACCAGGATAATCCTGCACTGCATTTTGCGTGTTGTTCATGCAGGTGCTTTGTGTGCACAGTCCTCTATAGTGTCGGATCTTTTAGAAAGGTGTTCTGTGAGAGGACTGGCAAGGATGAAAACTTCCTGTCTCTTGGAAGCAGTCATCTTTTGGATGCCACACGCTGACTTCTGAAGCAGAATTAGAGCCAAAAATAGGCGAGGCTACCCACTGTCTGTTGTTCTGGCGTCCTTTTCCGTATTCTTTTGTTTATGGAAGAAATGGCTAGGAAAAGAACATACAGTTCTTGCCCAAAGGCTGATCTAAGGGTCTACAGAAGTGCCACAGGTGACCTGAGGCCATTGGATAACCTCTTGAGGCTGAAATAAATGTCTTTTGTGGCCAGTTGCTTACTATCCAGTGTTGCATAGAGCAATCTATATAATCGGTTTGGGACTGAGTATTAGATTTCTCTCACTGAACGGCTTATCCTTGTGCGGCTTGCTACTCTGCCTCTATTCCTCTGTTTCCCGGTGTCTTGACTTTGGGAGGTTTGAAAACACCTCTCTCCTGCCAATGTTCCCTGCGCAGATGGCCAACCCTCACCATCTTCTTTCCTATGCAGGATAGGGTTCCTTGGTCTTGGCCTGATGGGCAGTGGCATTGTCTCCAACTTAATAAAAATGGGTCACACTGTGACGGTCTGGAATCGGACTGCTGAGAAGGTAAGTTCCATTTCCAGAAAGAGTTAAACAGTCTCCTATCAAGAGACAGGGCAACAGACCTGATCAAGGAATTGGGATGGCTTTTGAATTGCTGACCGTCCCAAAACCTAAAATAACAATGAAGAGAATTTCTCTGTTTACATTCGCTCCTGTACTGTGACACTCTTTTCAAACTGAACCATGGAGGGCAGCTTTGGCTTTATCAGGGAAGTAAGAAAGAAAAGGGAGCCAGTTTGATGTCGTGGTTAAGGCATCGGGCTAGAGACCCTGAGTTCTAGTCCCCCCTAGGCACAAAACCAGCTGGGTGACCTTGGGCCAGTCCCTTTCTCTCAGCCCTAGGAAGGAGGCAATGGCAAGCCCCTTCTGAAAAACCTTGCCAAGAAAACTGCAGGGACTTGTCCAGGTAGCCGCCAGGAGCGAATGCTGACCTGACGGCGCGCGCGTGCACACATGAAAGAGAAAAGCCATTTAACTAAAATGGATGCTTTCTAGCCCACCACGTTTGAAACGTTTGAAGATGTGCTTCTGAATGTAGTAATTGGTTTGACAGTGCCAGCTTACATTATCACTAAGATCCTTGTAGCTATGGCAACGTTTTCATTCCCTCTGTTTCATTTTCTTTTCCCCCTCCCAATTTGTGCTATTTTTGTGGCTGACAGCAGAAGCTGTGACTTAGGATATCTGGAACAGCTGTGCCCACATCAGTTTAGCCCCACATTTTTGAGAAACCATTCTCGTACAGTTTTTGTGAGCATAGTGGACTGGATAAAGCAGTTGGCATCTCTCATGAGATAATAAGACCCTCAGAATAAGGAGGACCCTGCTGCGTCTTCTAGATAATGGCACAACAGCAGCTGCTGCAGAAAAAGAAAGACCTGTGTCATTTGGGATGGATCAGTGATGTGGTGGGTCACAGAAGTTGGCATTGTTCCAATCCTATAGATGTCCACATCCCATCTGGCAGCCAAAATTTTGGTGGCTGTGATTGGACCCAGGGTTCAGTCCCCCTGATTTACAGTAAGCAGTAGAAAGTTGCCTTCTTGGATCAGCAAAAGTTTGGAGCCATTTCATTGTTGCTGTTAGACAAAGGTAATCTTGCTGTTGCAGCAGCTGGGGCCATAAGCACAAGCTTCTATGAAGCTTTATGTATCCTTGGAAAACAGCCTGCAAGCCCAGGTCCAAAGATATGGTGTAATTATCTTTCTAGAAAGCAGAGAACGGATTTCTTTGTTATCCTAGCAAACTTAGCTAATTCTGTTTGCTTTTGTTCATACAAACACAGCTCTAGTCTGACCCAAACTTAACACTTCCTGGGGTTATGTTGGGTGGTCTCCGGCTGTGTGGACTTCAACTCCCAGAATTCACAGCAGTGGCTGTGGTGGCTGATTTGGGGCATATCAGGGTTCCCAGGTTAGCCTTCACTTTATTTCTTACATGTGGGTCTGTGACTTTTGCAGTGTGATTTGTTCATCCAGGAGGGGGCACGGTTGGGAAGAACCCCCGCTGAAGTGGTCTCGACCTGTGATATCACTTTTGCCTGCGTATCTGATCCAAAGGCAGCCAAGGATGTAAGGATTACCTCTTTTTACTTGCATGAGCCCCCCGTCCCTCCCCCCATGCTTTGCCACTGCTGTCTTGCTGTGACCAGAACTTTCTCAAACTACTTGTAGAAAAACGACGACTGCTTTGAATGAATCTTGATGACTAGATTTACAGTTTTTTAATTTGTAGGTAATGGAAATGCAGAAAGGTTATTTTGGTTTTTAAGCAGAAGTGAATGGTTTGGATTTCTCCTTCATTGACTTCCTTGTGTGCGCACAAACACCCTTTTCTTTAGCAGATAATTACTTCTCCTTTAGAATAATAAGGATGCAGTAGTTTTTCCTCATAGAGCAGCTAAGAGAGGCTGGAAACTCACAGAAGCTTCCTAATTGTCCAGGAGACCTTGATTTACTCAACAAAGTAGAGAGAGGAGATGAGGAGGAGGCTTGAAAATGGGGTTAATTGAACCTTCTCACAGTTACAGCTTGTAACTTGTAAAAGGAGATGTGTTCTTTATTTGGGGATGATTGAGAAAAATGGGTTTTATGGTGATGCCTGCTCTCCTCCTATTTTGATTTGAGACAAACATGCACACTCTTAAATATTTATGAAATGCTGTTTTGATATTTAGGACAAGGTCCCTCTGGGTTTTCAGTGGTGCAGTGGTCTCTTCTGCCACGTGTAATTGTGCCAAATGTTTAATAACCTTTGAAAAGCTTTACTGTCAAATGACTGGATTAAGTCACCAGTATATGGTTGATTTGGAGTATTTTCAAGTCTGTGGAGTAAGTGCTAGAGCTTGCTGCAAATTCACTTCATATTGCTGTGTAGTTTTGCTTTACAGGGTTATATTGTGTTTTTTTCTCTCACAGCAGTCCTATGAGAGCTCACTTATTCCTATTTGACATTTGGGGCACCCAGGCTGTGACAGTTAACTTGCCTGAAACCATCAAGAACTGGAACTAGAACTTTACTATTGTAGGTCAAGATCACTTGAAGGTTTTCAAACCATAAATGCCTTACTCTATTTCATATTTCTAAAAATATGAAAAGCAAAGATAGTCACGGTTCCCTCTTTTTTTAAAAAAAATATCTGAAATGTATATTATGATAATGGCATTATTAGCCAACTGCAAAGGAGGATGCAAGTTTTTGAATTCCCCAGAATTCTTCATCGGCTTAAGCTTCATCAATCATTATGACAGTCTCTGGATTGTGGTGGGGTAGAAATATGGACAATAAATATAAATTAATAGATAGCATCCTGACAGCCAACTTATATTGAAATTCTGAAGTCTGCTTTTAATCACAGCCTTAAGGGGAAATAGCAGTAAGTTCTGTTCAGTGTTATGAGAGCTTCCAGGTTGCATCTGGGGCCATGCCAGCAATGCTGGAGAGAAGCAACCTGCAAGCACCGATTGGCCGGTTTTGAAAATTCCGCTGTTTTCTAGAACTGGGACTCCATCCTACGTAGGACATGCTGGATCTAAAGGTTTTTGCAGCTTGTGATGCTGCGAGAGCAGACTTGGAGGTCTGTGGCCAAGGGTTCCCAGACTCCCCAGAGTATGGCAGCAGGAGAGGAGCCTGTGACCCAGCTGAATGTGACCCTGCTGGGTTCTTCGGTGCAATTAGGCTTCATTGCACTGAATTCCCTGCTCAAAACCAGTTCAAGCAAATTGCACAGTAAATTATGCAAAATAAGTCTACCACAAAACCAGGTGAGTGGCTGATTTTATGTATCTCCACTAGTGCCGTGGAGTTAATTTGAACCAAAGTAACACAGAAGCTGATGTGCTTATCTTCTTTAGGATGCACAGAAACTCTTTTGACACCAGATCAATCTGTGAGTCGTAGTACGTCTCTGGTAGAAGTCTGTTCCCTCCTGCGAACTGAGCTTTTCAAGATACTCTGTTTTCATACCTCATATAATTGGTCTGCTAATGTAACCGACTGGATCTAGAGCCATTACAGTGTTGTAAATGAATTCTGTCCCTGTTCTTTCTATGCATGTATATGCTTAAGACATGTTTACTTACAACGTGAAAAGGCAGCATAAGGGAATCAATGGGGAACTTCCACCTGGAGGATGTTATTGCTGGGCTGCATAAATCTAAGGATCCTTTCAAACGGAAGGGTTGGGAGGGCTTACAAGCACAGTTGAACATCTGGAAGTTCTTAGAAGCCCTTGTTGGCCCGCATAGAACTTCCCAGAAGCTAGCTTTCCTGCACAGCCCAATATTATCACCGTTTCAAAAACCATAGCGCAGTCTGGCTGTGTTTCCACCAGTCCTGCCTTAACTAAGAGCGGAGCAGCATCATTAGAGCTATCCGTTAATGTCGGGGAGAAGCTGCATCCTCTTGAGCAGTCAGCTTGGAAGCTTGTGAGAAGTCCAGCCCGTTATCCCTTGCATGGTGTTTGGTAGAAGCCCCTTCAGGATTGGCTAGGTTGGGGTTTCTTTGCAGACACCCTATTGCTTTACCGCTCTTCTCTTCCCCCAGCTGGTGCTTGGGCCCAGCGGAGTACTCCAGGGCATCCGTCCAGGGAAGTGCTACGTGGACATGTCAACTGTGGATGCAGACACGGTTACGGAATTGGCTCAGGTAACGGTGCTGGGCTTGAGTGGCTTCTGGAGCTTTTAACTAGTTGACCTTGCGTACAAAATAGTGTACTAATCTTATTCACTGAGGGAGATTCTGCTCTTTTTGTCTTAAATGATAGGTGAAACTGGCCTAGCCACCTTTCCTAGTTTTCCTGGGTTTTTTTAATCAATAGCATCTTCCTTACAAACAGAATGTGCGCATGTAGGCTTGTGTATGAGTATTTTATTTGTATATTTGCAACACGTATAGTTTCCCCCAGTTCCAGACCATTGTAGGCAGAGTACAGCAATTGGCAAAATAAAAATGCATAATCGTAAAAAAAAATTAAATGCAGAGAATGAACTTCCCTGCTCAGAATCACGAGGGGCCAAAATCTTACTGAAAAAATACAATCCTGGTTTGTTTGCACACTGTTATAAGGGTGGAGGTTATATGTAGCTCCAGGGGGGTCAAAGTTCCATGAAGTGAGGGCTGCTTACAGAGAGGGCCTGTGTGTATACATAGACACATATATCCCTTTACTGCCTTTCGGATTTGCAAAGTTTTTCTTTCACATGTGGTAATCTATAATTTTTCTCAAGTTACGTGGGTAGCATTCAACATGCTAGCATACTTTTTTTAGTGTTAGAGGGAGTGTTCGGCCTTCATATCATCACAGTAGATTAACATTTGGCTAATACAGGTAGTCCTCATTTAACGATGCTAATTGGGACTGGGGACTCCGTTGTTAAGCAACACGGTCATAAGTCAAAAAACATGACCGCACTGCTTACCGATGGCAATTCCAGCAGTCCCAGTTGGTGTTGTTAAGCAAGGACCTCCCATGACTGCAACTTCTGACTTCCTGCCAGCTTCCCGATTGACTTTGCTTGTCAGAAGTCGGCAGGGAAGGTTGCAAATCACAACCATGTGACTGTGGAATGCAGCAATGTTGTCAATATGAGGTCCAGTCGTAATTACCATTCGTTTAGCGCCTTTGTAAGTTTGAACGATTGCCGAACAAGTGGTCATTAACTGAGGGCCACCTGTAATGTGTTTCTGCATTTTCTGAGTTGGGAGGGGGCAGGCGGGGGGGCTCAGCATGACCACCAGTGTCCTTGGCTGATGCAGCTTGTCTTCTCTGCTCAGAGTGGTTCCCCTTCTCTTACTTCCAGGTGATTGTCTCCAGAGGTGGTCGCTTCCTGGAAGCCCCAGTCTCAGGGAACCAACAGCTATCCAATGATGGGATGCTGGTGATATTAGCTGCTGGAGACAGAGGCTTATATGAAGACTGCAGTAGCTGTTTTCAGGCAATGGGGAAAACTTCTTTCTTCCTAGGTAGTATCTTTAATTAAGTACTGGAAGAAAATCATAATCATCCACAAGGTGGATTGTGGCACTTGAAAACACAGAATGAGGTCAGGCAGAAAGTATCTCCAGTCAGGAAGTTTGAGTGGGACAGTGGGCTAAATATATAGAAAACTGGGGAGTCACAAGACCATGTTTGATACGGGATGCTAGCTCTTAACTGGAATGTAGAAATGTGGGAATATACATTTAGGAATAGTTCACGGGTTCTTAATGAGCTTCTCGTACAGGATCTCTTTCTGCAGTTTTACTGTGTTAACCCTCATCTTGAGATTACTCTGAGGAGCGGTTCCAAATCTGTTTTAAAGCAACTTCTTAAGCTGCTAAGGAAAGTCTGCAAGATTATGATAACTTCATGCAAGATGATACAACAAGCAAGTGGGGTGGGAGGCAGTCTTTGTATTGAAGCCATAAAGAGGAAGGAGATACAGACAATTATCTGAGCTCCACTTGGAACTGTATCAAGAAATAACCATTGTTTCCCCATTTTTTCAAAAATAAAATCCAGCTGTTCTTGAACCTATTTCTACTGCAGGGGCCAGTTGGTAGTACAAACCAGGCCTGATCCAGTTTTTTTCATATGTAATGTAATTCTTAACATTACAGACCAACACTTCAGAATAGAATGCAGTTATTTTCCTCCTTCCCCCCCTCCCCAATTACATAGCATCCATTGATATGGTTCTGAGCCTGTGTATCTATTGGGCACATGGTATATTTTGATCCATGGTGTCATTGATTAATTGAATTGTACATCCCAGTATTTGGGGTTTTCTGTGGACGTTGATAAATGGCTGTTAGTGTAAGCACCCCGTAGTCCCAAATGTTTAAACCTCTATGTCCCAAATGTCTAAATCTCTACATGAAATCCCAAATGTCTAAATCTCTACATGAAAACAATGGAATTAATCTATAGTAAAAACTTTTTAGGAGCAAGTCTTGTCTATGCCAGCATCATCCAAGGCTTGTGCTGCCTGACAGCATCCTTTTAAATGCGGTGGGCCAACCAGTATAAAGAATTTAGGATGGGTGTATTTTGACTAGCTCTCAAGGCTGGTAAATTACTAGGAAGCTGAATTCTGAAGAATACTGGAGAAGTTACAGAAGTTTGGAAAAGATTTCCTCTGAAGTTTAGTGTTGGGGTATAAGAGTTTAAAAAGTAGAGGAATCCACTAGCAGACAGATTAGTAGATGTTGTCAAGCCTTAAGAAGGTTTTAACTTACTGGTGGGGCGGCAGCCAGCCTTTGTCTTTCCATCTTCTTGCGGAGAGTATATGACTCTCTCTCCCCCACAGGAGAAGTAGGCAACGCTGCCAAGATGATGCTGATCGTGAACATGGTCCAAGGAAGTTTCATGGCCACAATAGCAGAAGGACTGACTTTGGCTCAAGTCACTGGCCAGTCCCAGCAGACCCTTCTGGACATCCTCAATCAGGGACAGCTTGCCAGCATCTTCCTGGATCAGAAGTGCCAAAGTAAAGTTCTCCCACTTTTTTCCCCCCTTTTGATGTAAAAAGGCTGTTTCTCTAAATTGGGTGTAGGCAATCCAGTGCCCTCCAGTTCTGACCAGTTCCCATAGTCCTTTGGTTTGGGTCATAGTGGGAGGGGCTGATGGGAGTTGATGGCCTAAATATCTAGAGGGCAGCAGGTTGCCTGCCTCTCGCTCTTGAACTATCTCTTTCCTGTAGGGTATAGGGCTGTCTCCTGTACCTTCCATAGCCAAACTTGCTGGATGTTTCCCATTAATTCCTCCTGGCCAGGCATGCTTTCTAACTGCAGTAGATATAAAGCCAGTAGAGTGGTTAAAATGATGGACAGGACTAGGGAGGCCCAGGTTCAAATCCCCCTCAGTTGTGGTGTTCACCCACCTTTAGGATTGTGGGTGGAATAAACTAGGGAGATCTCTCTCCAGGGGTGCTGCCTTGAGTTCTCAAGGAAAGTGGTTAGATGGAATGACAGGAAGTTTATGAGAGAAGAGCTGTAGCTCAGAAAGTAAACACATGTTTATATACCGAAGCTCCAATCTGGAAACTACATAGGAGCAAACTAGAGAGTTATTTATTAGCATGGATAATCTGGGAAAAGATCACTCTGATCTGACATGGCCAATGTGTTTAAATAGGTACACTGTGTGAATGATGAAATCTTAAGGGATAAAAGAAGAGGGTTGGCGGTAGGGAAAGTGGAGTATGAAAGTGTATATCTGGGCCTTTTCTTCTCTAGATATCCTGCAAGGAAACTTCAAACCTGATTTCTACCTGAAATACATCCAGAAGGATCTCAGACTAGCCATTGCACTAGGTGATTCTGTTAACCATCCGACTCCCATGGCAGCTGCAGCCAACGAGGTATGTTTTCCCCCAAACTTGTTTCTGTTCGCTCCCGTCTTAAGGATGTTTTTTTGCCACCCTTTAGAAAATGACTTGCATCTAAAGACCTGGATCTAGGCTTCTTTTTTCCAGTGTAAATGTTTGAACCTCAGAAGGGTCATAGATAAAGGACTTCAGTAACAGCCACCTTGAATGCCCTCTGGGCAGAGAAGCAGGGTATCAAATAACAGAATTTACAGATTCTCGTTCGGGCGTTATGTAATTGCCAACGTTGGGTCCCTTAAAAGCAGGTTCTGGGCCACCCTCAATTTTTTCGCAGAGGTTTGCTGGAAGAAAAGTCAGTAGGTGCAGCTGGGGGTGGTTAATATGCCAGTAGGAAGCCACTAATCCTCCTTTTCTTGAACTGATGCCTCTCTTCTGCTATGTTCCCTCCCTTAGGTCTACAAACGGGCGAAAGCATTGGACCAGTCGGACAACGACATGTCTGCTGTGTACAGGGCCTACATCCACTAGGCTACCCTTCTTCTAATTGTTAATACTCTGATTAATTATGATGAATACTGGGTTTTAACTCTGGACCAGTCCATCTTTGTCTCTCTCCTCTCCTTCCTCCTCCCACTCCCACCCCCCATTTTTCTTTTTCCTTTTTAATACGAAAACTCTTGAGATCTGCCACAAGGACAGTTGCTATGGTATGCCTTCCTGTGCCAGCTGCAGCAGCAGTTGAAGAGGTTGGATCCTGGCCATCTTGACAACAGATCTGTACCACCCATTGGGAGTCATAGAGTGGAATGTGTGGCAGGCAACATTGGCCCCCTCCCCAATAATGCTGCTTGGCTTCAATCCTGGTTCTTATTTGTATGTGTGTCCCTGGGCATTTTTAGTCGTTTCCAGTTGCTGTTTCACTTACTTGCTGGGGGTAGCATATATATTGGGTTCTCTTGAACAGTCGGGGCAACTGAGAGATGGGTATCCCTTTACCTGTGTGGTTTTGACCTTAATGGGGATGGGAATCCAGCACTTGTATTCTTTTTCCTTGGAGAAAATGATCAGATCAAAAGGTGCGAGGGATAAATTAATATAGGACATGGCAATGGTTCCCCAACAGAAGAAGAGGCAATTTCATCCATGCCTTCTCCTTGGAAACAGCTTTGTAAGTTAGAGAACTTGTTTTCTGTTACGTAATTCAAACTCTGATGTTTTAATATGAGTCTCTGACATGCAGGATGTCTGTACAGACGCTTCATTCCCAAATGGCTTATCTATTCTGAACGTACCTGTAAAACCATTTTACCTGCCTGTGATTCGCAGAATGAGTTTGCGTGGGCATTTCTTTAAAAAGGAAGGAAGGAACGTTGGAGTCTTCCTTCAGGTTCATCTTGGGGAACCTGCATACTGCACGTATGCACGTTTGCTCCTAATATTTGCAAGGATGACTTGGTTTTGACTAGTGTTGCCACACATCCAGAGGAAAAAAGATAACTTTGACTTCCATGTTTTCCTTTCTGAAGAAATTGAAGATATGCCAAGGCGTAACGTTGACTAGAAATTCTGCTTGCAAGTAATGAAAATGAATGATCCAGCAAGTTGTGAACTAATATAGCCTAATAAATTGAAGTAACAAAGTAGTCTAGGATACAGGTAGTGCACAAGCATATGCCTAAAAATTGTGATGCTTTTTGTCAGTATTAATCTTGAGAGAAAGCTCTTTGCTCAGTCTTGGAATGCATATATAAAAGAGGGTTGAAAACAATTCTGTAATTCACGCAGAGGCTTTCACGTTTGCATAAACAGCCTATAGCTCGAAAATTCACACACCCCCAGTCTGCATAACTGCATTTCAGACTGGTGATGAATCTCTCTTGCCAGTCATGCCTAACTAGTACTTAAACCTTCTCAATGCAAATGTGGAATCCAGCTCTCGAACCTTGGGTTGATCTCCAAGCAGTGTAGACGTGCTGGCCCATTCTGAGTGCAGGCAGAAGGCTCAGATTTTTATTTGATAATGTTAAAAGTGAACATCTACCTACACCAGCCTGCCCGGCTCTTGCTACAACAGATACTCCTTCGGTAGCTTTTTTCCCTCCGTGGTGTAGCAATCCGCCTGAAAAAGGACATCAGTTTTTGTCCCTGTCCATGTGTTTCATAGCCCCCAACAACCATCCAACTGCTTTTTCCTGCACTGAAGTATATCTTGTTAATGGAAACTAACTCGTGTCTGAATAGATGAAGGTTTTAAGAAGAACCGGTATCTCTCGGAAAGAGCAGATGGATCTGGGGGAGGTGATCTCACTTGAGATGGTTGTTCCTAAGCCCCTAAATTGCAGCGAGGAAGCCGCTCTCCCAGAGAAGTTCTAAAGATTGCCAGGGAAAAGTGGAGGGAGAACCTTGGTGAGCTTTTTGTGAGAACCTTGCGGAACGTAAGCGTGAACAGAAATAGTTCCCAGAATACTTTATTTTGCCTCCAAGCGAAGAATCCAAACGGAACCAGGAGCTGCAATCACAATATAAGAGAACTGCAGCGTCTTCCATTCAGTCTCTCCATCTTGTGGTTTCTCTGTCAGGGAGAAGGAAGATCTGCTGAAGGGTGTGGTCCCTCCTGCGGGACTGCACTGTTGCCGATACCCCAAGGGGGGTGGCCCCGAGATGCAAGCAAGAGGGTGTGGAACTGCCGGCCCCCCTCAGATGCCTTTTTAGAAGGACACCATTGTTTTCTTTTGTTTAAAGCCACAAGATGGGTTTTGTGGCACCCCGTTTTATGGGTCAGAAGCATTCATTGGTCTACAGGTTTTATATTGCGAAATATTTGCTGGTTTTAAGGTGCCACGGGACTCCTCCTCTGTTGCTACTTAGCCTTTCTGCTCTGTTTTGATCAAATACTTGGCCAGGGTGTCCTTAAATTCGAACTGGCACAATGGCTCAGGAGGGGAAGTGTTTGTTACAAGAGAATATGATGGAACTGGCTTAGTCATTGTTGTCTTAATATTGTTGACAATACTGTAAAGTTTCTTTTTTAATGGGATTTCTGTTTTAGCAGTTGCTTTTTTTGGGGGGGGGTTCCCTCCTTTTTAAAGATAAAAGTTGTTACGCTTGTGGAGAGCTTGTAAGAAAAAGCTGTTTCTTTTAATTCCTTCTCCTTTGATGAACGATCTATAGGTAATTAAGGTTGTGAATTTTTTATTTTTGCCTTGTTTTTAATTAATGTTTTGTCATTCAGATAGGATGTGTGGTGATGATTAAATGGCAAACACAAACAAAATGATTTTTTTTTTCTTGTGCAATTAACAAAGCTACTGGCAAAAGGAAATAAAACCTTTCTTGGTAACACAATGCTATTTGTTGCTCTAAAGTATTCTTTCCTAACTGCATACTTTGGAGGGGAAATCAGAACATTAGTCTCCCACTTCCAAAACCTCAGAATGGTAAAAGATGCATTAGTCAAGGATATAAATTTAAAATGATGGGCTAACACTACTTGTGCATGACTTTCAAAGATTAGGGAATGGAGAAACTTTAGAAAGGATCAATGCCATGAATAAGGTACAAAATAAATTGTAAAATTAAAATTTGAAAATTTCTAGATGGTGAGACTAGAGGTAAGAAGATTTGTAAAAACAGAAATCATGCTCAATCATAAATTATAGTTTATACATCACAACAGCTGGGTTTCTACAACACACCATACAGTTTTGTACACAGTGACAAAATTGTGGTTTATTTTAATAATATTGTTTGAAGTATTAGGAAAAAATGGGGGGGGGATCTTAACATTTGAAATGAGATGGAAAGAGGATTTGAACTGTTTGTTTTTTTACAGGGTGGATAGGAACAGTTACAGAATTGACCTGTTGATAATGTTTTTTGTCTAAGTGGTTATATTAGAACAAAAATGAGAAAAGTCTCCAGTATTTATATATTTATTTATAAACATTAGGAAATCATTTGCTTACTAAATAATTAGCTGTGTTTAATTACAGTGCTTTTCTCTATTTTGTCATTTGTTCTTAATTCAAAACATGAATTAAAAGTGGAGGTTTGAATACAGTAATTGGTTTATGATTGGTTCATGATCATCCAGGCTTTGTTTTGGAAATGTATATGCTTTTAAGAAAGTTGAGTCATGTTTGAAATAACTCTGGAGGAAAATACTGTCTTCATTCTCTACAAAAGATACTAAGAGGGTGAAAGTAGATAAAAGGTAAAAATAGTTCTAGGAGGATATTTTGTGTGTGTGAATCTCATTTAGAAGATAAAATACTGACTACCTTGTTAAAATAGAACCCAAAGGATAATCATTTGTATATATAAATGTGCTACTAATATAAAATAAAAATTAGAAGGAAGCCTGACATTGTAGACATTTCAGTTCTTTTAAGAACCACACAGTATTTTAAAGAAGGAAAAGCAAAACAGTATTATTTCTGCACAAAGGTGATTATTTCAGGTATTCCCAGACATCCAGTCATTCGCCGTGGTTACCAGGCTGCCTTTTAAGGATTTGAACGAAATCGGCATTGGTTCCGTATTCGCACGTCGTGTTAGTAAAACGGAAGTAGACGCATCCGCATTTGATTCGGCCGAGGACTGCTTCAGAAGGGGGGCCGCGATCTAAGCC